AGAGAACAGTTAACTGCCTAGTAAAAAGCTGTCACAGCAGTGACTCATGTAAGAAACAGTTTCTTAATCAGAGCTGTTTACAAGAACAAGTTCAGCATCTAACATCTTCGGAATCCTCATTTGGAATATTGGAGGAATAGTCTCAACATCCCCTTTTTTCCTCCCCCAGCCACTATAAAACAACACAATTTTTTGTGTTTTTGAAGAAGCCTAAAACTCTTCTAGCTTTCACTCTGTCACCAAAACCCAAACCACAAGCTAGCTCTTTAGAATGTCATCCCTATTCAGTAGTTTGCTGTAATCCACATTTAAGGCATCATATGTTGGACACAGTCACAAGACAGGAGTAACTCATAAGTAACCTGCTGTTAAGAATTAAGTACCTGGATGCAAGCTTAAAATGATCATCTAGTATATGGATATTCCAAGTTCTCATGGGTAAATAGTTTTTTTAAAAAATTTTGTGTTCCTCCCTTTTTGTATCAGGGAGAGGAGAGGGTGTAGAAAACTTTTTTTCCTTATTCAGTCCTCAATCTGTGATAATTTCATTTAGAGGAACTTAAATCTGATGCAGCCTCAGTCCAGCTTGAGGAGTCCAGTTGCACTAAACTCATTTGTTGAGCAAGAATGCAAGACACAGATACTTGCAATATTGCATTGTTTCATCATACCTGCTTCAACTGATGGTACATACACAACCCTATAGTTCATGGTTCTTCAAAACCAACTAAATCAGCATAAACAGCTATTTAAACTAAGCTAACAGACCAGCAAGCATCTTTGGCCAGCTTACAAGAGGTCCTGCTAACCAGCTCTTAGTGATCATCCTGACAACTACTTGAAAACTCAAGCATAGTAGGACTGTTCATTTTAGCTTGATCAGCAAATGGTCATTTAGAGGCTTAATTAAAATGCTGGTAAACATAGTCCTTCACTCAAGCACCAAGACAGTTGATTTTTTTTTTCTGTTCTAATGGTACCTCTTAGTACTAAATTACATGTTGCTATGCAGCCAAAAAAATTCAAGCATTTCCCTCTCCCCCGGTGATGCTCTGTGAAGCATCATAAGACCTATATTTAAAGCTAGATAACAAGTTCCTTTCAATGACTCATTTTCAATCTCTTAATCATGCCAATCAAATTGTATTAAAAATAAGCAAGCAAGCATCCACTCTATTCAGTGATACATCAGGCTTACAGTTACATGTCTATGTCCACTCCTAAAGGCTAGTCTAAACCAGTAACTTTCTAATGGATTTATTCTTTTTAGTCATATGCATTAATGGAGTTGTAAAATTTGTTCTGAACATGAGCTAAATGTTCTAATTTAGTTTTCCCAGCATCAGTTTAGACTCCTGCAAAGCTGGAATAAACAAGCTGATTTAATGAAACTTCTGAGTGCAATGCAATTTAAATACCCAGGTTTGGTGGTCCTACAGAAGGAAGCAAGAAAGCATCTTAAGAAATAGCAAATTCATGCTGCGCAGCTAGTGGGATGAGCTTCTAGTGATGGTTTACTAAGTTAGATGGTGGGGTTGTTTTTTTTGTAGTGTTTTTTTTTTTTTTACTGTGGGACAGCATTTGTTGAACAGATGTGATTCAAGAAGCTACAGGAAGCCTTAAGACCACCCCATCAGACAGCTATAGTAAGAACCTCTGACAAACAAATCTTAGCAGGCTCTAAACTCCTAGTGTTAACTAGACCGCAAGACTTAAGTTATGGAGGACAGAATCAACAGTCACACATTTGGTTTGAAGACTTGCTTTTTTTAATGTCATTAGGTAACACCGCTTGAGATACTACAATTTTATAACAGTATAACATCCATAACTTTTGACATTTCCAGTTTGAGACAAATTCTTAAAATCATAGCTTTTTTTTTTTTTTTTGCATTACAGAAAGTGCAAGAGAGGTGTATATACCAGACTAATTGCATGGCTGGCTGAATTGGGTACTAAGACCGTATTCAAGTTGACTTCGTTGGCTCTCCATTTCAACAACTGCTTAGGCATTTGATTTAACAATACTATTCCAAGTTTATACTTAGTATTAACAGAAAAACCTCTCACACATCAGCCACCACCACTGGCCAAGAATGTAGCTGTTACAGTCAGCTATAAATAGCTGATTTCGAGATCTGTTAGTAAAGAGGTTCTTTAGAAAAGGCATGGTTTTCAAGAGATTGAGAACTACCTCACATTAATGGCACAGGGGTGGTGGTGGTGCATCTGTTCACAAGGAATCTAGGCATGGAGTGAAGCCATGATTGTCTTTTTGCTTTCTAACAAACTGGAAACATGTCACACTACACTGCATGACTACTCAAACTGGGCAACATCAGGGACATTCACTGAGATATATGCAAGAAGCCTATCTGCTTGTTCCATTTGTCTGCCATGCCACCTTGATAAAAAGGTAACCCTAGTAGATTTCCCTCCCTGAAAAAGGCCATATTAGCACCAAGGCAACAGTTAGTGTCCAGGACTGCCTCAATATTCTCCAAGAAGTGTTTCAGCTTATCTGACCCTACAGTGTAGACCTTTAAGTACTCAGGACCCCGGCAGTTCTGTTACAGACCACACGGTTAATCCCTTTATCCCCATATTGCATGAATGAAACTTTTACCTTTAGTTAAATAGACAAGTATTAGAATTTTTATCCCCCTACCATACAGTTTACATCTTTATGGCTCAGAGACCAAGTCACAAGTCCAATCACCAATTAGAACTGAATACTTTTCACTGAGCACAACAGCAGCCAGTTGTAAAGTTAACAGGCAACTAAGCTAGTTGTTTAAGCTGTGGAGATTCAGCTACTAATTCGATTTTCCCTATGAGAAGGCAACACTTATTCCCCAGGTACATTCAGTTCCTGTATTTTAGGGCAGTAAGTGCTACAAAAAAAGGAATTGCAGTGATAAGACATGTGACTTAGTGTAGCTAAGCTCTTCTCTAGAAGATGGCAAAAACTAAAGTAAAGTTAACATCCATCAATTTGAATTTAGGTCTCCAGCATGAGTCCAACTCTCCATTTCCTTTGCCCTGAATTATCATCTTCACAGCATGTTCTTTGAGTGTTCGTGTTTCAATCCACCTGGACTTGTTTTACAATACAGACATCATGGAACAGCAGCAAGAGTTGCAGACAGCAAAGTGAAACAAGTAGAAAAATCATGTCGAGAAGAGGTCCAGTTATTCCATTTCTTCTTTTCTGGTTATGCCTAGTATAATTAAAAGGGCTTAGGGTTAGAATGGTTATAAGTTATAGCTTTATTGCTTAAAGCAAGCTTATAATACAAGTTATAAACTTTATTGCTTTATAGCTAGCTTAGAGCCACTGAGAACAAAACTAAGGCAATAAATAGCATCACTTGTCTTCTGTTAGACACCAGCCAGTATTTCAGGCTTAGAGGTGTGGCAGAGAAATATATTTGCTAGTTTTACAGTTCTTTTTCCCTAATCAATAGTACAAAAGTTTGGAGTTACATTTGTTTCTAGTGACAAAAGCTCTCATAAAACCCCTAGTCTGTTTTTACATCAATTTACCCAGAGTACAAACCTGTAATTATTTAGGGGATTAAACTTCAAAGTGCTCTATGGGGCACTGTGTTCTAACACTGCCCCAAAGAGGTATCTGAAGGAACTTAGTCAGCCTTTGAGTTTTGCAGCACATCTGTACTCATTAACTTTCCTCAAGAAAAGAAAATCTAGATATATTTCAGCCTTGAGACTTAAGGCCATGGAAGTATAAAATAATTTCTAAGAAAGTGAAGCTGGCTGGGCTTAGCCAGAATGCACCTATGTAGAAGTCCAAGCAGAGGCAGCCCAGCAAAAGTGTTCTTCTAGGGACTGTTTGCCATACTTAAGAGGAACATTAGAGTATAAGGTAGTGTAGTTTTAAGCCAGCTCTTTACCAAAGGTTTTCTGAATCAATTTCAGAGAATGAGGTAGGTAGTCTTACTAGCGGAAGACTTACCTGATCTATGCAAATGGGTTGCCAAAAGGATCACCGAAGTGTCCAGAAGGAGGTTTGAGAGATTCTTTCTGAGGAAAAATCATAGGCAGTTAGTGGATTTCCAGGTTTCACCAGGTTTACTTCTGCATGGCTGTATCAGCTTGTTCCTGCTACAAACATCTTCTGGAAAGAATACTGCAGAGTCTCTGCCACGTGCACACTAACTACACTGCTTTAATAAGAGAAAAGGACTCTAAAGCTGTGTTAGCAGATATCCTAGTCTGAGGCAAGGTATTTTCCATGAAAAGACGTGTTCTTACTGAACACTCATCTGGAGTCCACCAGTGTAGTCATGATGAGGCCTGTTTTAGCTAAACGCTAGATATATCTTAAGTCGGCATTCTGGACTTGATCTAGAGTTTCCACCAAAGGCTTCAAGTGCTGTGTCACAAATGGAGTGATGTGGTTAAGCCACTTCCTCCGCCAGGGACTACTGAAGATGGGAGCCTCCCATTTGTTCAGCAAGATAACTGCACAGTCCATACTGCTTAGCCTACTCCATAGAGAGGTAACTATAACTGAAGTGGAAGACTTCTGCAGCTACATTATTTTATAGTCTTTTGTACAAGCTTCCAATACTAAAGAACTTCCTTCTAAGCCTTGCAGCCTAGGGAACTGGTTATGGACCCAAGCCAAGTGAAATCATACTTTGTTAGCCTTCTTGCAACTAATGCCCTCTGTTAGATTAAATATTAGCCTAGACATGCAAGAAGTTTTGTTTCATGGCCTCTAAAGCTAGAGCTCAAACAGACACCTCTGTTAAGGAGAAAGGAAGATTGGGGTTTTTTTATTTGTTCTCGGGTTTCTTTTGGTTGGGTTTTGTTGGTTTTTTTTACTACTTACAGATGAGTGACTGAAAACATCTGTTTTAGCTTGACTTACAAACAGGTCATCAGCTGGCAGCACACTCTGTCGGGGAGCAGGCTTTGGTGGTTCTAAGGAAGAGACACACTAGGGTCACTTAACAGATTTAAGAAGTACTCAGGTTTTTCTGTGTAGCATCACCAAAGCTCATCTAATTAGATACACAAAAGACCCACATGGATGTTGCTTTAAGTGACTTCACAATTTTGACTTTTGCTTGTCCTTCACTATCCTTAAGCTAGATGGGACTTATAACTTTGTTCAGACCTAGTTTACTTCATTCCAGCCAAGTGATTTAGACACTAGGTGTCAGTGTTTGGCCACAGACATTGATCAATTCTGTAACAGAGAGAGTCCTTCATCCCTTTGTTTCAGTAATTAGTGAATTAAATTTTTTGTTTTATCTGAAAAGACTAGTAATCAGCCATCCAAATCCCTGAGCAGCTATCCAAGCAGAAGAAAAACAAAATTACCAGTCATTTTGACAGCTTGCTAGCTTCCATATCATCATGATCTGTGCTATCTTGAGGAATGCCTCCTTTACTCCTAAAATAATTCATGAAAGCTCCAGAAGTACCTGAAAGGCTTTGCTGCTCTCCTCTCCTTGCTGGTACTGCAGGTGGCTTTGTCAGCTGGAAGTCTTTGAACATGTCCTTGACATCCTTCATCTCTTTATCACCAAGTGGATCCAGAGCAATAAAAGCATCACTTTCTTTCTTGGATGGCTCCTTCTGAGGTGCAGGTCTAGGTGGTGGCTGAGGTGGGCTAGCTGTTGTTGACACGGAAGGCAGCACAGATGGTGTCTGAGCAGGTAGCGTTGATGGTGGGAACACACTACTCTGGAAGGGATTTATAGCACTGGATGGCTGTGGCCAGGAATTAGATGGAACTTGTGCTGTGTGTGCCCAGATACCAGAGGACAGAGGGACTACTGGACCAAAAGATGTAGGCTGGCTCCAGTTTGGCAAGGCTTGAGTACCAAAGGCAAGTGGTTGAGTAAATCCTGTAGGCTGAGCAGGCATCACAGACCCAGGAAAGACTGATGCAGACTGAGAAAAGGCAGATGTCTGTGCACTCCAAGGTGATGAAGTTACTGACAAGCCACCTGGGGAGAGATTTTTGTTACACAGCACTTCAGTCATTTGAAGACCTCAGGCAGGAATGTAATAAATTTCATTGAGGTACCAGCAAAACATTTTTCATGTACTGTTTGCAAAAGATCTGTTGATTTATACTTAAAAATCAAGTCATGTGGGGGCTGGCGGGAGGGTGGGCGGCAGGCAGGGCAGGAGGGGAGAGAGAAGAACGTTAACATTTGTAACTTTATTTCAGTCCTGGGAGAAGAGAATTGAGGCTTATATAAACAGGAAGAGGAACATATGCAGTCCTAGCACAGAACTGACAGACAACATTTGCCATGCAGATACTTCTGTGTAAATGATTATTAAGACTCTAGAGCAGTGTTACGCTAGCATCCCAAGTGGTGCTTGGCTTACCTAAACCTTGTGGACCTGAAGCTGCAGTCTGCTGTCAAAGTTTAAGCAAAAAACCCTGTTCCATTTAAGGATGCAGAGTATAGGCCTCTATTCACAAAACTTGACAGTTTGGGGTAGACAGCACATGGGTTAAGAGGCATGGCACTACATATGAATTAAAGGAAAACAAGAAACTGTATTTTTGTGTTAGCAGATATCTTAGGCTGGAGCAAGACCTTTACTTTGTGAACTAACCTAGACTAGACAATGGAGGTGCTGTGGTAGTACTTGTGCTGAAGAGGTCCAGCGGACTTGTTGGCACAGGTCCTGTTTGTGCCACTGAGGTCAGGCTAAAGCTCTCTGTAGCTGGCACAAAGAAATCTGGGCTAAGAAGGTCATTTGGTGCAGTCTATAAAGAAAAGAAAGAGCTTTGTGAGATGGCATGGCAAAACACATGCTACCATGATGAAGACTCCCTAGTTCAGAGCTACAAGCTTTTACTAATTTCAGGTAAAGCAAAGCAGGGAGCTTTGATGTATTATTTAAAGACCAAGTATAAGAGTTTCAGATTTCATCATTTTGTTCATGCCTACTGAGATGCATGGCATTAGGCAGGTATAATATATAGCAGTCACAAGTCAACAGCAGAAGAATGAGACTTAAAGGGATGGAATTATTTGCTTTCATCATAAGCTTCCCTCTGTCCCCCATTCCTGCTCAGTCTGCAGTGACTCCTGCACTTACAGCAAGGTCAGCAACAGTTTTGTATCATTTGAGTGCAAGACAAATGCAGCTGACCCAGAGCCACCCTGAGTCTAATTGGGCAAGTTGTTGAGATTGCCCTCAGTAGGCAGAAACTACATAGGCTTCTGTAAGCTAATAGTAGTACCTTATTGTTATGAAACCACAGGCTGAGAGGCATACAGGTATCGTAACAGGTTCTGGCATTACATCAAGTATCAATATACATAGCAGCATACTTACCAGACCTTTACAGAAGTATGGCAGCATTAAAGAAGAGAGTATATAATTTAGTGACCATAGCTACTATGAAGCATTCATGAATGATAAAACATACCATGGCTGCAGAAAGGTTAGAAGTAAGCATGGCAGGTAGAAGAGAAGTAGATATGTTGAGAAGTAGATGTGTTGTGGAGCCGTTTAGCCAGTTATACAGCAGAAAGAAAGAAAAGCTTCCTTCAGCCAGCTTCTCTAAGTAAGAGCATGCATACCACCATTAATTACTTGAATATAGTTCACCTTGACAGACCTCCTTCCTCTTCCTGGTTTGGTACTTTGTGGTGGTGGGCTAATGGTTATAGACTCATGTGACATGAATGGGATATTGCTTTCAGAATCCAGCTTTACTCCATTCTGCAGAGATACTCCTTTGGAAGAACCTTCCATGAACAGGTTTGATGGGGCTTTAAGAAAGCCATTCTGTTCTCCTTCTGGTACCCCATTTGGAATTCTTGCTGCAGGAAACTTACTCTCAAGTGGCCACTGGATTGACAGTGCTTCTTGTTTGCCAGATCTGTTAGAAATCTGGTCAAACTGTTTACCAAAGTAGTCAGTATCCCCATTTGGGGCACCATTGCCCACTGGTGCCAAAGTAATTGGACCTTCCTTCTTCTGATCAGCAGATTTTAGAGAATCAAATGAAGGTGGTGCAGATTGGTCTGGCTGTGTGAAAGGATCATCACTGAAAGGGTCTGGATTAGGTGTGGGAAAGAAGCTGAGATTGGTAGAGAAAGAACTCTCAGGCAAGAAGGGTGGTTGTGGCTTTTGTTGTGGAGGAAGGGTGATGCCATTCAAGAAGATATCCTCTTCTGTAAAAGCCTGTTTGGTCTCAATTTCAGAATTTAGATCCACTAAAAGAATCTCTTTAGCTTCCTATTTATTTGGAAAGAAAAATAAAGTTAGTTTTATACAGGCCTTGCTGCATAGTACACAAGCTCAAGGAAAACAGCTGGAAATGAGAGATCCTATTAACCAATACATTACACTAATAAATACTCAATGTCACAGTGAAGTTGCACTAAAGCTTCATGTTATAAGTCAAGGCAAGCACTGCTGGCTGTGGTCAAATCACAGCTACTTAGTTTCAGAAACTGTTAAAATCATCTGGTTTAAGATCCCTTAGTTAAATATCAGATGCTTGTTCTACAGCCTAGAGACTTAAGAGTCATAAAACACTAACTACACCTAGGATTTCACTTGAGTCAAGAACCCCTATTTGAGTTCCAGTCCTTTGTTTCAACAAGTTGTGAAATCACACTACCTTAGTGTGACTTCAAGTTACAGTCTCAACTTTGTAGTAAGGTTAGAGAACCGTTAGCAGGTGGAAGATGTTAACATTCCATCTCTCCAGTAGGCAGAAGGGTAAAATGTGGTCATTAACTGGATTAATAGCACCAATTGTATCACTGTATTCTAGTGGCTTACAGTGCCAGAAGAAACTGGTAGGATTTTGGGGGTCATACTGAACTATGACAAAGTTTATGCACACTTTTGTGAAGTTAAGCCACATCTTCAGCTAGAGCTACTCATCCAGAATAGCCAGGAGTCAACTGTGAGGGACTTACTTAAGGATCTACTTTTCTGTAAAATGAGCTTCAGATTTAAAGGTCTTTAGCAGAGTTTCTGTAATAGCTGTCATTGCAGCAGAGGCATGTACTGCTAGTATGTATTTCTAAGACACCTGACTAAGAAGTGGGCCCATGCAAGCCTCATGAAGTTCAACGAGGCCAAATGCAAGGTCCTGCACCTGGGTCAGGGCAACCCCAAACATGGAGACGGGCTAGACAATGAGTGGATTGAGAATAAACACTTGGGGATATTGGCTGATGGAAAATTGAATATAAGCCAGCATTGTGTGCTCACAGTCCAGAAAGACAGTCACATCCTGAGCTGCATTAAAGAAATTAGGCCAGCAGGTCAAAGGAGGTGATTCTGCCC